AACCTGATGCATTTGGCTATTACTTTAATGCAGATTATTTAGTACTCTTTCAGGTGCTGGCAGTCTACTTTAATATTGATGTATTAGGGGAATTAGTCTCAATGTTTAGTTCTTTACAGAATATGCCATATTTTATCCAGGAGCTGTTTTTAAAAAAGAAAAAAAAAAGTACTGTCTGTCCCTGCAGAGAAACTCCGTGTTACTTTCCTACTGGATTCTGCTGTTTAGTGTGAAGAAGAGAACACCTAGACTCCCTTTAATTCTTCATAGGCAGATTTACAAGTTGTTCTGAAAACTGTCTTCAGATTCCTAGAAAGTTGGCTTGCAAAATAGAACTTGGAATAACTGCTGTTCTCCAATATGGCTAAACAAAGGAATGAGTGTATTGTTCACAGGCATAGTTGGGGAGATAGTGCTAACGTTTGAGTCATTAAAAAAGTTAATTACACCAGGAATGTTTTTTATCTAACTGTATGAGCATATTCAATACAACTTTAACAATTACAAAAACACAAACTAGACCCTGGAAGACCTAATTAGGAGAGAGTGTAAGAGCATGTGCTTGAGTGGTTGGTTTGGGGTTTTTTCCCAATTAATTTTTATAGTACTTGAAGGAAATAACATGTAGCATCTGTAGGAGAAATTTTTATCGTCATTATTCTAAGTCTGCCCATCACCTTTTTTATCATGTTTTACCCAGCTCATCTCTGACAGAGATAACCATCCCACAGTGTTAAAGGACTGACTGATGTCAAAAAAGCTACATGAGTGTTTCACTGCCCACCCCCCTCACCCCTCTTGATTTTTTTTTTTCTTAATGAATTTCCAACAATAGTTCTGACAAAATTATAGCCAGAAATACCTTTCAGGTTTGTAAGGATCCAGTTTCCTAACAAAAACAGCAATCTACATTTTATTGAATTTCATGGTCTGGTAACCACCAAATCTTTGCCACTCTATTCAACTGCACAAGGAACACTGTAAGCAAGACTGGAAGTTGGACGTTTCTAAAAGCAATGCAATTGTTAGGTTGTCTTTCAGTGTGGGAGTAGTGTGTATGGACATTGAAAAATAGTATTTTGGGGTAGAGAAAATTTTCATTTTTTTAAATTTTATCCTCATTGTAGGTTTTATGACGTACAGTGTGGGTTTGAGGAGGTGAGAGCAAGGAATTACTTATAATCAATGTGTGAAGATAGTTATGATAATATTTATTTTCATAAAATGAAAGCTCCTGTTCAGTTTTTACCAAGACTTACTCATGTTTTGCAAAGTGGACTTGTTAAACAGTTACTTCAGTGCAGCAGTGGAAGATGGGTAAAACCAGCAAAGAGACTTTCAGTTCTGTAAAACTTCTGGATATTACTAGTGTTTGGGGAGAATACTTTATACAGTATCTTTAATTGAAACTGCTTTCAGTAGAGACTTTTGGAGAGGTTGACACCTTGGAAACAGTTTGGTATTTTAGAACTTTTAAACTGCTAGGGGTGCTATGTGTTTGTGTGTGGAGGGGGGGAAGGCATGTAATTAGAAGATACTGTGGATCACTGGTATTTTCTTTGTTATTGTTGCACTGAATGACTTTCTGTGTCCATTCTTTTGTCACATAGTGTTGGCCAGAGATTTTGAAGTTTGGAGTGCCCAGTTCAAAGCAAACACTTTCATGAAAGGACATCTGCAAAAGCAAACACTGAATGCGTGTGAGAGAAGAGAGGATGCATCAGCATTACTTGCTGATGTTCAGGCAGTTGGTAGAATCTTGTCTTTGTTCTTGCTTTGTCAGTGATCTAGATTTCTGAACAAAACCAGACTGATAGCTGTGTGGTGTGTTGAAGAAGGAGGGAAGAGGCTGTATGCATCTTTCAGTTAGTGCTCATAGCTAAAAGTATTCCCTGGGTCCTCTCAGGGAACAAATTACTGATGAGCTGTTTGGAGGGATAAAGGATGGTTAGCAATGTGTATTGGGCTAACATCAACCTGCCAAGTGGATGATACAAGGCATTTCTGGTATCTATGACAGGAATTTGAAATTTGGGTAGCAGAAGCTATAAAAGCTTTTAGGGTTTAATCTAACACACAACTCTTTTTTTTTTTTAATACGTGTATATCTTTATCCATACTTTACTATGGAATATTCTTACGTAAATGGAGAGAATGCACAGTCAGTAACAACAGAAATAGCTGGGTATAGCTGTCTCTGTAAGAATGAACAGCCATGGTGTGTCTGTTAGAAAAACTCAACTTGTATTGCAACATCTCTTTTTTTTATATCAAGTCTTTCCATTACTGAGTTGTCATGCATAAATTTTATTATATTGTGGATCTGTTTAGCATAGTTATTCCAATAAAGGTGATATCTGAGTTGGACTCACTGTAAAAATGTGATGGATTTACTATATCAATAGTTTCAATAGGTGAAGGCCTCTTAGGTGAATGTGTGCACGTCTTACTGACTTTCTGAGCACAGTAGTGTTAAGACAGCTGCCATGGCCAGACAACATAACAGCACTGAAAACCAGGTGAAAACTTTGTGAGTACCTTCTGAAGAAGTGACTGCTGCAAAGAAAGAGCAGAGATGCATAGGATAGGGAGCATGGAGTTGAAATCTGTTGGAAGGAAAGCAAAGTCTGACTGAAATGATGCAACATCTGGCAGTATAGTGGAAACCATTAATAAGTTGTAATATTTTTGCATTCACCTGAGCTCATGAAGAGAAGGAGCTGGGTTATCATTATGCACTGGAAACAATCATGTAGATCACACCCCCCTGCTTGCTGAAAGGATCGGATGCTGTTTTTTTTCCAGGTGAAAAAGATTTCAGACAACCAAATATGAAAGTGTTGTGAATCTTAACTGCTTATTTCAATCTCCTTTTGTAGGCAGATGGATCCTTGGAAAAAAAATAGCTGTAAGTTGGCAGCAGAAAGCTCGACTGTGTGAAGCAGAAAGCTTGACTGTGTGGGTCTTTTGAATATGCGTAATTCTGTCTCCAGGCTCAGTCAGGAACGCTAGGGGACAGATGCCAGCAACATTTTATCCTAGGAAGGGAAAAAAAAAAACCACCACACAAAAAAAACCTATAAAAAATGTGTAGGATGTTGTGGATTTTTTTCCCTTGAACTGCATGATGTAGAAATGAGGACTATAGAGCCCAGAAAGGGCTTACCTTCCAACGGAACAAAGCAGTGCAGCCAGATGTTTCCAAGTATTTTGAAAATGGCTGTTGCAGTCATTTTCGTTCTTTGCAAATAACCAGGGGTCTGAAATGACTGTATTGAAGTGGATTTTTTCCAAGCACGACAAACCCAATAGGAATCCGCAGGGGTGCTGTAAGGAAAGAGTGGGTGCTGGTGTACAAGAGCTGCTTGTGAGATAGCTTTGGACTATGAAGGACAATTCTTTAATTATGTAGGGAGAAATCTTTTGGGAAAGAAGAGTGGTAAAAGGCTTGGGGGTGACCTGAAGAAAAGAAATGCAGTAGAAGTCAGTTGGCTGAGAGAATTGACAACATAGTTGTTATAAAAAAACCCCATACCACTCAGTTTGTGATTCAAAATTGAAATTTTCTTTAGTCAAGTAGTTAAAGTGGGATGATGCAGACCCATAAGAGAGCTGAACGTATTTTCCATATAAAGTAGACTTTTCTAGGTGGAAATTTGGATTTAATTTTTAATGCAGTTTAAACATGTGAAAGACTGAAAAGCTTTGGAGGCCGTTTGCTTGAAAACTGTTCAAGAACACTTTGAAGCATATAGATCAGCAGGTGTAGGTCTACCTGAGGCTACCTAGAGCGGTAGAACTTGGAGACACCAGAGGGCAACTGCACAAAGGTCGGCAGGAAGTTGCTGGTCTTGTGTTAGAAAAGATTACGACTATTCTATGAAAAGAATTAAAATACCTGCTAGGTATGTGTATGACCTTGTCAACAAGGAAATAAGCCAAGATGACCTCTTACATACTTGCTACTAATGATGGAAATTTTTTTGCTCAGAATCCTTCTGTTATCTCAAGAAATGTATAGACTGTTATCCTTACTGCTATTTTAGTTTGAAAAGATATACTTGGATGGCTAAAAATACTGCCACTTCAAAGCAAGGAAGAGATGCATCAGTTTCTAGCCTTTCTTAATTCAAACCTTTCCTGATATTCCTAATTTACCTTTAAAACTTTGCCTTCAGAGGAAGTTTGGTTTTAGTCAAGGGAGCAGATTTGTGTGACAGGCAACCTTGGTGTGCTCCTGATAAAACTGCGTGTCCCAGAAGGCTGAGAAGACAGTGGGGTGAGTGAATCCTGTCCGAAAGGGGGATACAGGATGTAAATTTGAGCCTCAAGGCTACAGTACCAGCATAAATATAGCTACTGAGCAGCATAACAGTTTCCTTTCACACAGCGACTGAAATTTTGACAGGCATAGAAATTCAGTGATCTTCTTCATTCCCATTTATATATCTTGAATATTTTTAAAGGATGATGCTTCTGTGATTTATTTAATTTTCTTTGAAAGCTCTGTTGTGTAAACCCAAGGCCTGAGTAGGACTTCATGCAGATGTGCAGTTGACACTAGAAACGCCATATAATTGAATTTCAAGAGAGATGCCCCTGGAGTGAGGAGCAGTGACTTAAGTGAATGTAGGACATTCTGCTCACGCAAACAGCTAAGTCTGTGTTCTAAGCATTATGGATATAAAAATAGTTATCCAAGAAAATTTGTCCTTCTGAGGAACTCAGCTCTTCTGAGGGCCCTTTAAAGCTGTCTCTGCCGTTGTACTAATGACAGTAACAGGCCTCTGAAAACCAGGAACTACGTTAATTACCCTGATGGGGATCATGCTGCTGCCTTAGGAATCTATTTCGTGGTCGCTGATATTTTTTTTTTTCTGTTCTTTGCTGACAGAAAGAATTTTATTTTAAAGATACAGTAATTTAACTTGTGCTAGTCATTTGCTCAAAAACATGACTTTTCTTAAAGTAAAGATACTTAACTCAAGCGACGACTTCAGATACACACAGAATGGGATTTTACACATGTTGGACAGAAATAAGAGAATCAAGCCACGACCAGAAAGATTCCAGAACTGCAAAGATGTTTTTGATTTGATCCTAACATGTGAAGAAAGAGTCTATGATCAAGTAGTAGAAGGTAAGGAACTTAAACTGATAAACCAAGTTAACTTTTGAGTGCTTTTTGTTCCCTCCCCCCTGAAGTCCTTCACAAATCTGGAAACATTCGTCTGCTCTGACTACTGCTTCTGGAACACCAGCAGGGACAGGAGCTCACAGTCCATCGACATAGACTTTATGTACCAGAGAAGTGATGGCTGAATGCTTATTTTTAAAAGACGCTGGTGTTGGCAGCTACACAGAATGTGTATGTATAGCAATTTTAAGGGCTGACATAAGGAAATAGCAAGCATTTGTAGAAACTCAGATATACGTGTTTGGTTTGAAAATGCTCGTGGATCTAGAAGACTAGCAAGTTGTGTGTGATGAGCGTTTTTTCACCCTGGGTTGATGGAAAAACAAAGTCTAAGCTGTCTTCCTTATGCAACTTCCTTTCTCTGTGGAAGACTTCCTGTGACCTACCAAGCAGTTTTTCCACAATAAATATCTCCTGTACAGGTGGAGAAGCTGTTCTTGAGTGTGGTTAACACTCAGCAAACATGCTACAGCTTTGTCCTTAAATGAGTCAAAGTGAGATATGCCAGAAGAATCTCAGCTGGGGATTGGGTTCTGCATGAACACCATGCAGCAAGCTTGATGTGAACTCACGGGTTTTCAGCAATGACTCAGTTAGCTTCTGGGCTGAGTGCCCTTCCTCTCTCTGGAAATGCTGGATACAGGCTTATATGAGGTTTAAGGCATTTCCTTTACATTGAAAGACCAGCCAACTGAATTAGTATCTTGCACACAATTTAAAAGGCTGTTGCCTTGCCTTTTCAGTCCTCAGTGGTCGTATCACAAGCAATACAGAGCATGATACGTTTGGGCTTCTGCAAGCTGAGCAGTTAGTGTTCTGAATCTTTAAATGAACCGTTTGAAATGCATTGGTGAGTTCTGAGAGCAACTGCCCTGGTACTTGAGTGGATGGATCTTCAGGAAGTTCAGCATATCTTACATAGAAAGCAGCTTTTGCTCTAATGTTTAGGTGAGTGTCCTGAGGAAGGGAGGTGAAGAGCAATCACTTCCTAGCTTTCCAGTCGTGCATCTCTCTAACTTCATGGTAATGCCCTTCATAACTGATCAATGAAAGGAAGGCCTGAGTGCCATCAAATGGCTCCAGATGTGAAAGCTGAAATTATTTTGAAGTGGAGACCTCAACAGGTTTACCAAAATGAAGTCACAGAATGGGGTTAGGAGAAAACAACTTGTAACTTAAAAACTGTGCGCGTAATGGGAAGGGTATGGTAGAGAAGCATAACAATGATACATGGGTAGATTAGTAGGAAAAGGATATTTTATTCTTCCCCCTTAACCCCTCATTAATAAGCGGAACACATTAAAGCTAGAATTTTCCAATGTAACTATCAGTGCTTAACTCGTAGTACGAGTTCACCTTGCAGTTTAATTTTCAGAGTGTTGGATGTGCAATGCTTTTTTAAAAAATGGGCAATTAAAACTCTGCAGGTGAGGAAGCCCAAAATTATTCTTGACTTTTGAGAATCTTCATCTTGGTCTTTAAAGACTGCCAGAGTAAAGTGAGCAGTAACTTTTCTTGACCAGGGCAAATAAACTGTCATGATCCTTCCACAAAACTGAATTCTTTAGTTTCCAAAATCCATCTCTAATTTTTTTAAATCAGAGGGACATTGTTTAAGACAATATTAAATAAACAATTTCCTAAAAACAAGTTTGGAAAAGGCAGAGGTGGACATGTCTATGTGTTTTTTTCTGTATCTTACGAATACTGCGTGTAAGATATGATACCATTCCACCCAAAGTTTTGCTGTTACGTGTGTTTTGTTTTCAACTAGATTTAAATTCCAGAGAGCAGGAGACATGTCAGCCGGTACATGTGATCAATGTGGACATTCAGGATAACCATGAGGAGGCAACCCTGGGTGCTTTCCTTATCTGTGAGCTCTGCCAGTGTGTAAGTAGAGACGGCTCATTGCCTATGAGTACCTTGGACCCAGCTGGCTGCACAGGGGTTGAGGTTTGCTTAGTATCCCTTAAAGGTACTGCGTATTGCAGAATTCAAGTGAAATCCATGTCAAAAGATGTAAGTTTGCAAATTCTTGTGGTTATTTTTGGAGCTGTTGTGCAAACGGATGAATTGTAACTGTGTTCATGGTTTCCAAAGGGGACTCTGTATGTGCATTCAGAAGCAATGCATTGGTAGCTCACATGAAAAGCAGTGTTGCAAAGTACAACACATCACCGTTACACGTGTTGAGCCCATACTCAAAACACTGTTTATGGCAAAAGCGTCCATTTCAAAAGCAGTTGTGACGTGGGATTTAAACAGAGTTGCAGCCTCGATCACGATATACTTGAAAAACATCGTGTGCAGGTGTATTTCCTAGTACCACCCTGTTGTGTGTATGATGTGGAAGAAAAAAATGGTGCCATATTCAGAGGCCCTAGCCCTTGAAGTGAGACTGAAATAAGCTACACTCAAAACAGTCCACGCAACTGTCAAGAGAACAGAGGATGGATCTGTGTCCTTTTACAGTGTACGAGTTGATGAGTTCACCTATTCCAGTGTGGCAACAGGCTTTTTTTTAGTTTTTAACTCCAGCCTGTGTGATCTATTCTGGTCTTAAATCCTTTCCAGATTCAAAAAGCCAAAGAGGGTTCAAGGACTTGGAATTTTAGCCATCTGTTCAGTGTGCTTGTAGCTATTCTGAAGCTTCCATTTGTTAGCTAGTGAGGATGGATGTTGCCCGCTCAACAAAGTACTAGTTAAGTGCCAGTTCAGTGGGTTGGAGAATGAAGGATATGCAGATAAACATGATGTGGAATAGATACACGTTTGGGAATGCTGGGAATCTCAATAAAGCCCCCAGTGCTGCACTATTTGGTGTACAGCCTGCTGGTTGAGATTTCACAGTGAGCCAAAAGTATTGAGTTATTACAGTTTTCTAAACTATGTTGTATCCTTGGAGTCCAGTTGCTTAGTATTTTTTCTCTCCTAGATACAGCACACAGAAGACATGGAAAATGAAATAGATGAGCTGTTACAGGAATTTGAAGAGAAAAGCGGAAGGACTTTTCTTCATACTGTCTGCTTTTATTAAAGCACATCTGTCTCTTAGGCCTTAATACAGATGAGGGAAGCATGGGTTTAAAGTTCTGATTATACTGTATTTTCCTGGAAAATGCATATGGATCTTTTTTTGTTTAAAAACTCCTTTTCAGTGTCTTTTTGTTTTGTTTCAGGTATTCTGTCACAGGTAGGCAGAGATACTGGTTGGGGTTGTACATATGAGAAGATTAAAAGTATACACAAAGGCCACCTATTTAAAAATGAAAATCAAGATTTTCTTTAAATCCTACTTAAATTATTACAAGTAGGTTTTTAATTATAAAGAGAATGTTTCTTGAATATAAGTTTATAATGTATTTTTCCAGCTTACGAATTTATTTTATTTCAGTTGTGCTTTTTTTATTTTAATGTGGCAGAATGGCTGAACTATGTGAGGATATGAATGGAACAATGAAAAACGAGTATCTGTATATTATTAGATATAAAGTTGGAAGCATCCAATAAAAATGAAAAACCTCCAAGTTTGTCTGGTTTCAAAATAGAAGCTAAGTAAGTGTGACCATGCTCTGTGAGGTAAAACACAAAGGATCTGAAGTAGCAAAAGAACAGTCATTCATCCAAAGTGTCTCGCAGAGGATAGTGACAGCAAGAAGATCTGGATAGGGATCAGAAGACCTGAACTGTGTCCTTTCTTCAGAGAGGCTGTGTATTTGGGCAGCTTATAATGGTTTTTTGATCCTGTGTTGAACTAAAGTGAACTGCTTTTTCTGCATGAATTAGGACACTGCCAGGAAATCTTTTGGGGTCTCAATTGGTTTTGAATTATTATGTGAGATTGGTAAGATTGCGACGCTGTAACTGTGGCAGTCACAGCCAATTGTGTATGTGTCTTCTGTGAGGAAGATGGGGAGAAATGGCAAACTCCACTGTCAGTGGAAAGAGTTTAAAGCTTTTTTGTTTTTTTAACTGAAGCATCTTTTGAGTGGAAGTGTTCTCCTCCCATACAGCAATAATAAACACGCTTGTCATGGCTCAAAATCCAGAAACTGAGTATGTGTATACAAACAGAGCAAAAGCTCTGACTTCTCTTTGTTCAAACTGGTAAAAGTTAAAAGTGGAAACAAACCAAATTATTAGACATTCAGAAGGTGAATGGTAAAGTACTGCTGCTTACAAACAGGAGAAGGTCTTAAAAGTTGTTTTGTTACAGGAACCTGTAAATGATTTGAAGCAAATGGGATCTGCGTGCTCTTCAGTACTTGGATATGTAAGGACAATTTTTGAACGTAATGTTAAAAATGAAGTAGTGTGAAGTGGGGTTTGAGCTCCTGGCTTCTCTCTCTCTCATCCTGTCACCTAAATTTTCTTACCTTTAATCATTTTGCCCATGCAGGACATTAGTGCTAAGTACTTTCTCTCAATTTAGGGCAATGTTACCATCTATGCAGACAACTTTGGCTGTGTATGTAGTAAGTCCTATGGTAATGCTACTTAATCTCTTTCAGTGAACACACTTGCCTCTATTGAAAGGTGTCTGCTCCACACCTGGAAACTGCAAGTCCATATCTGAAAGTACTTCTGTGCAGTTGCAAATCTTGAAGTCTATTGAGTCAGGCCCCTCTCTCTACTCCTGGGATCTGGGGGTCGGCTGTTGTTTCAACTGCCTTGTGGGAAAACTTAGACCTCTGCCAGCTCAATCTGTGTTCTGGATGGTGTCCAAATGGGTCATTGCATCATACTTGGGTCCCAGGAATGTTTAATGTCCCTAAATTACCTGTACTGTTGTTCTTGTCTGTTAAAAATACTTGAAGCAAAAATTTTGTGAAGAACGAATGAATAGATGGAAAGAATTAGGGGATGGGGAGTTCAAGCAGCAGCTGTGATAAGGTTTGCAGAGTGTATGTTTTCTGATTGGCTTGTCCTGTCCCATTTTGTTTCTGGAGACTCTATATTTGAAGGATTTCATTCAGCCTCCTCTGCTTCTGCTCATTTTTCTGTCTGATACCATCGCTGGTTACCATGGGGATATTTACAGCCAAAGGAAGAAGATGATTCTGTAAGGACTAAACTGCTGTAGTTCATGGCTTTAAAAAGACATTTCAAGCAAGCATGGTGCTCAGTATTTTCAGCAGAGTTTTCCTTCCCTATACAGTATCAGTACTGAAGTCTGCTCCGTGGCAAGGTGAAACTTGGAGAGTGTTTGAAAATGTTTTCTTTCAACTTAATTCATCCTAAACAGAGCTCTTTGTTGTTATTTTACAGAAAGACAGTAAAAACCCAAACAGGATGTTTCAACCCATGTTTTGTGTGTATGTGGAGATTTACAGAAGTATCCTTTTTGTTACATAAAGATTATACTTTTCATGTGCATAATTGGCAGAGAATTCTGATTGCTGTAGTGCTAATTATGGATTCATTAGCAGAACTTCAGTTCACTGCATCTTTTCAACTGAAATAAGAAGCCTTGGTCTAAAAACATTATATAGTACATTATAACATTATATAGTATATAGGATGTTAGAGTTGTTCTTCCCATCCTAAAGATGTTCATAAGCAAAAGCAACACTGGGAGCCGGTCATTTGTCATTTGTTTACTTACCAGTGTGTGGAAGGATGTTTGGATGGATGGATGACTGACCTGGGTGGACAGGCAAGTATTCTGAACAATCCACAGTCCAGTTCAAAGTATTCAAATTTCTGTGAGCAAAACTTGTTCTTCAGCTAAAGCTGTTCTTACTCTGACACATTGCTTATTTAACTTACAGGTCAGTGAAAAATGCATGCGTTTATATAGTTACTTTGTCTCCATATGCTTCATTTGCATTGAAATCCACAAAGAAGCTCAGTTTATACAGGAATTTTATGGAGTCCTAGTCTTAAGTTTGAGAGATACATATATTTATACACACACAAAGATATATGTAGGTATAAAATAAACTCTGGCAAAACACAAGGTCAAAGTTATTTTGTGTGTCAAAAAGAAATTTCAAGAGAAACTCTGATTTAAAGGAAATGGGGGAAAATAACATTTTTCTGTTAAGAATGGGTGGGATATGTGTGATGGTGGTGTGCTCTTCCCTGCCTTGTAGATACATTGATACTCGTGCTGCTAAGAATCAGTGCTGTTTAAAGTCCTGTAGTTGGCTGTCTTCCTGTTTAATGAAGGAAAGCAATGAAGGGTTAACACCTTGTGCACACAGGCTGTGAGTACTCAGAATTTGGCTGTGATGGGAGATTTCTGCTGCAAATGAGAATTTTCAGCTATCCAGGCTATTCTCCCAGTTTCTGTAAGGCCAGGAGAGGTGGCTTTAAAATTCAGATTCCTCCCAGAGGTTTCGCCTCCTTTCTAAATGTGGTGATTATGTTTTGTCAGCATTGCTCTCACTTTTTTGACTTTCTATGAAAGGCCATATTGATTAAAGAATAGTATCTATTGAAGTGCGTTTATAAGATTTTTGTTCTCTTGCTGCCATGAAGTTGATGCTGCTTCCTCTATAGGCAGATCTTTGCCAAGAACTTGAGGTTTCCATTTCTCACATCTCAGCCCTCTGCAGATCCTGTCCGTAAGGCACAGAGCGGTAGAGCCCTGCTCACTGGTTGCAGTCTGTTTTTCTTTAACACGAGTCACTTTGGATTTCGTGCCTGTTTTCTGTGTTTCTTGTCTTGCTTAAGACCTTCATAACGTTCACGAACGTTCTTCTTTCTGTCAGAGCATGTCTTTCAAATAGGTTTATGTAAATAAAAGCTGGTGATTAAAGAGCAATGCCTTTTCTCCCCTCTGCACTGCTGGTATCTTATCCCTGAAGTTCTCTGCTTGCTGGCTTCCTTCACCTTCCTGTGAGGCTCAGTGCACAACGTAATGCAGATAATGCAATCGGACTATATGGTGGAAAAGAGCGTTCTTCCCTGGGTTTCAGCGTTGCTGGATCTGACTGTGCAAGGATCAATGATCCTAGCTGTATTTCCCCAATGCAGCAGCCTAATGAATTTGTTGCTAGGCAGATTATCCAGCTTCAATTTCTATTTCTCATACATGTAGGAGCTCAGAAGAAGGTATCGATAAAGACGAACACAAATGCTTGTACCTGCACAGGAACTCTCAGAAGAACGGGGGAATAAAAAATAGTCAGTGGAGCACAGGGAGGGTATAGGACAGCTGAGAGGGTTCTTAGGAAGAGAAAAATTAAAGAGGAAAAAGGAGAGTCATGCTAGCTCTAGCTGTTGTTAGACTCTTGTGTAAATTCTCATTTGTGTGAGCACCGCAGAACACCAGCTGAGGTTCGTGCTCCCTTCAAGAGGAAAATAAAGTCAGTTCCTGTGAACATGGCTTGTGATAGTATTCCTACCTGGGGCTGCATACTCGCAGGGCAAAAAAAAAATCTAAGGTGGTTCCCGTGCAGATCTCTGGTCTTTTTTATCATCTTTGCCAGTATTGCTGGGGTTTAAAAGATATCTGATAAGGAGGGAAGGATACGTTCACTTGTGTCCCCAAGTGTTGAGGACTAAAGGAGGCTGGGTGGCCGTACCAGGTCATGCAGCAGGGTTGGGTTAAAACAAAGGAAAAGGCAGTGATCACTTGATTAGGGGTAGGCCAAATGCTGCTGAGGTCTTGTAGTGCAGACCATGGACTTGCCTGCACGAGGATGGTGGTGACAGAACAACATGAAGCTTGAAGCCGAACAGGAGCCATAGGTAGTGTGGATGGTTGTTTTGAAAAAGGAGCAGCTTCTAGCAATATTGAAGTGCTTAGGAACAAGTTCAACAAACCCATTGTAAACTATTGTGGTAACCTGAAACTGTCTAAGCATCTCTTATCACCTACATTAAAAAGACAGTCTTCACTCATACAAGCATGTCTTTCTGCTCAAATGCAGCCAGTCCCTGCTGCCTCTTTTCATTAGATGGAAGTCTCTGGAGAAACTCTTCTTGGCCTTATTTCCCCTAGACATGCAGATGAATCCCCCCCCTGCCTAGCCTCACGCAGGCTGTTCCTGGGTCTGTAGCTAATGGGGCTGTGAGCAGCAGAGTTCCGTGTGTGCTAGCACCGAGCAGGACAGAAATGCCGCTGTTGGATTGTTTCTGCAAGAACAGGTGGGCTGTTTATGTTTGCCCAGGTTCATCCCCAGTCTGATCCCTGCCGCAGCTGTGCAGAACTCATTTCCACTGCAGGTTGCTGTTAAGAGCTACTTCTTGAAAAACTCAGTAACTGAGTCTGTACCAAGGCTAGGGAGCAAATCTAAATCTAGTGGGAGATCAGGAACAGTGGCTGATTGGCCAGGCACAACTTCAGTTGCACAAAATTCCTTGAGACTTGTCTTCAAATTGTCTGTTCTCCTGCAATTTTATTTGGCTGTTACTTTAAAAATACATGTTTTCTCCACCAAGCAGAGTACCTAACTGCATTCTCTCTGCGTTACTTTTACTGAGGTCTGCATATAGGTGGTAGAAACCACCTCGTAGCTCTCTAAGAAGTGAAAGTGGCTTGAGGCAGAGGGTTGTTGAGGAG